TTTTCCCTGGTCTGTTTCTTGTGTTTAGCTTTTGTCTGCTCTGCATTTGAAGTAGAAAACTTCCTTTTCATGCTGCCTGATGGTCCTTCTGAACACAAGGTGGATCTTGGACAGCAATTTCAGAGTCCTTTTGTGGCAAGGCACACAGCAGCCTAGATGTTCAATTGCAGGGAAAACCTGTATCAGCCATTTCAGATGTGCTGTGTATGGACACGAGTTTTACATTTTCAGCTATGAGTCTGTAGCAGATCTGTGCTGAACTTGTATGAACTCTGATTTTGCTAAGATTTTTAGCTCAAAGAAAGCATGAAAATAAAGGTCTCCTATTGCTAGCACATTGGTCTGAGTACATGAAGGCATTAACTTCTCAAATAATAGGTAGCTGGATTATTTTGCTAAGGATAAAGCATCTTTCCTTGCCTGTTCTTCTGAAATGGCAGTGTTCTTTGGGCAGAATTTCTTTGAAAAATGTGGTCCAAGCAGGTACCTGCCATAAAAAGTATTAGCAAAGTTGCTAACGTTAGGAGAAAACAAATAAATGTCTTAAAATGGACACAAGTATCACGCAACCTTTATATTGGGCTCTGCTGCTGGCCTTAGTAGGAAAGTACATGACAAGGGTAAAGATTATGGAAATACAAATTCTGACCTTTTCCTTTTTAAGTTGAAGTAGAAATTAATTTTCTAAATTCAGCTTAAGAAGCATCTTTGTTATCAAAATATCCATAATCTTGGTTTTGTTCATGAGTATAACAATGTTCCAGTGTTTAAAATAGGCACTTTAGTTTAATATTTTACTAGTATGAAACACATACTAGAATTTAACATTTCTAAAAACTTTTTATCATTTTCCTAATTTATCCTAGACTGTTCATCGCCCTGCTGAATGATGCTGTGCAGTATAACCAGTCATTAACTAATACACTGTTATCTAAAGTTTCTAGTCTAATTCGACTTTCAGAAATACTGATAGCAGTAAAATTAAATTTTTAGCTTTTCACCTTAATTTTCCTATCTCTGCTCTGCTTCTCATCTTCTTAGCTTATTCCTCCTTTTTGATATCTTTTCAAAACACTTCTTTGAGAACCATAATTCTTATAGGGAGTTTTAAGTAGTCATTTTTTTTCCTACAGGTCAGGGGTTCACAAACAAGATGAAGTTCAGAAACAGCTGAACAGCAACATAGATTATTTTCTGAACCCTTAAACAGCAACAACTAATTGTCTCTAGCCTTTTTCCTGAAGTCAAGTATCACTGACTAATAATTTATGGTGGAAAAAAATTATCAAAGAGTTTAGTGGAATTATTTTTAGAATCATTTATTCTGTAAAGTGGCAGTGTAATCTAATCTCATAAATTCCATATTTGTCCCAAAGCCTGAATTCAGGCAGTTAAAACAGTACTGCAATATTACTGCGAGATAGAATGAAATGTTGAAGACATGGGCATTGGTGAAAGTACTTATCAGTGGTATGTTTATACCCAGTTAGATTTACTTAAAAGCATGTGTGGTTATCACAGTAATTGTCTTTGTCATAACGATTGCTGTAATTATTGTGATCGCATCTGTTATTGCCCAGCTGTAGTTGGGGATAGGTTTTATTCAGTTGACACTGTGTAATTAGGGTCTTTTTATTTCTTCTTCAGTTGGCAGTTCTGCAAGTAGTAGTGCCACAAGGAGAGATTCTCTATCTACTAGCTCTGACTTGTACAAAAGATCTAGTAGCAGCCTAGCACCCATAGGGCAGCCATTTTACAATAGTCTGGGATTTTCCTCCTCTCCAAGTCCAATAGGCATGCCTCTGCCAAGCCAAACGCCAGGACATTCACTTACGCCACCGCCATCACTTTCATCACATGGATCCTCATCCAGTTTGCATTTAGGTAAAAAAAACAAAAACAAAAAACCAAAAAAACACTTTTTGTTTGTATGTGTGTATGTATTTCTATGTGTAAAATATATGTTGCATAAGAGATGTCACATTACCTTTGCTGTTAAACAGTTTTGTAACGAAGAGGGGCCATTCCTGAGAGGTGAAGAGCATGCTGAAATGCTCGTTGATTTGACAGTGGAGGGCACTCACCTTTTTGCAGTATCGGGCCAACAACTGATTTTTCTTCCCTTGCAGAAGCCCGATAGAGAGCCCAGTAAGACTTACTGGTCCTTTTTGTATTGTTTCTGCAGTATGACAAGCAAAGGTGCATTATTTTTGTTTCTACTTCAGTGTATTACCACTTTAAGGACATTTTAAGATGATGTTGTGTTTAACAGTGAAGTGACTTTCACTACTGCCCCTTACCATGATAAAGTAGAAAAGTGAGCAAAGCTTTTGATGTAAAATGTATTGAAAGGTGATTTTTGAATCAGTGAGCCTATTTACCTCATGGCCCAGATGCTTTGCCAGGAAGACAATAGTTCATCACCAGGCTGTTGGAAAAAAGAAAATGCATTTGTGAAAGAAGTAGCAAAGGCTCTGTCAGTGATGGCTCTCTATGTATTTTTTAAGGAATGATGGTAGTAGTCTTTTAGAAAATTTTTGAGCTAGTTAGATGACATGGGAGCTCAAACTTAAAAAAAAACCAAACAAACTATAAAATAAAAAAATCTAATGAAACCCCACCACAGCCTACAGTTTATTTAGAAGAGAATGCCTCTAAACTGAGGTTACTTGATAAACTTTCCATCTTTTTGCTGCAAATATTTGTGGCCACTTAATTTGGATTCTAAAATCATACAATGAAACTGGATATAATTTCAAGATTGAGTTGCCTGTTGCTCCAGTTCAGTGCACAGTTTTGTGCATGTAATAGGCAACCTAATCCCCTGTACTTCTGCTAGTGCAAATAAATCAGGAAAAAATTTAAAAGTGCCTACCAAAACGTACACTTTAAATGAGAAATGTGTAAGTGATTTGTATGACAAGGTTAAAAGTAATTTAAATATATTACATTTACAGTTCAGTGTCCCCTTCACGGTTAAGTGCTGAATACCCGAAGTAAAACTGGGCAAGGGGATGTTTCAGCACGTTTTATTTTTTTTACTTACCTTTTTTCCTTTTTCAGGTCTACAAAGTGCACCTTTGGGCTGAGACCAAGCATGGAAAGTTTCAGCCCAAATGGAGGCTTTTGAGAAAGTTCTGAACATCTGACAATGGGGTTATCATGGAAATCTTTTTCTTTCTTTCTTTTCAAAGTACTCTTACAATAGTTTTCATATTACTGAAAACTATACTTAAACCAAATTTGGGAAGGCATTATCTAAAATTAAAACGATTGAAAGTCTTGTGTTGTTTCACATTTGAGAAAATAAGCTGCGATCAGTGTAGAAGATTACCTTTATCAGCAGAAATTGTTAAATACTGATTTTAATCCATTTTGGACTGTTTGGCAGTGTGAACTAAGCATATTAGTTTGTTAAAATCGTGTACTAGCTCAGTGTGTAAAGGCCAGAATGTACAGTTGTACTCTGAAAACTGACACAACCTTGTTGGCTTCCATGTGTATGTACTGCCTCTTCATCTTCAAATGAAGTGGACTTTGATTATGGGTAAACTTTTTGTTACCTTACCAAATCAATCTGAAGTTTGGAAATTGAGGTCTTCTGGATTTTTGCTTTCACAAAAATGCAGGAATTTTTTTAGCATTTCCTGCACTCTGCCTTGTGTCATATCTTTGCGCAGTTACATCCATGGTGCACTGTCGCAAAAAGTTGAAGACTGTTTCTGCAGTTAATTGTCTGTCCTGTTTAAATTTATTCTGGTGTGTTCATCAACCAGTCTTGGAAGCATTTGTTTTCTTTTCACATAAAAAAAGGCAAAGATTTTTCACCAAATGAGAAGTTATACCTGAAATCAAACAGGGAGTATATTTTAAGAAGGGTACGATTATCACATAGTCACTTTTCAGAGTAGAACAACATTGTAAGTTCATGTCTGCATGCAGTTTCCATTGGTATTCTGATAATGCCTGTCAAATGCAGCTCTCCCTCCACCTTCAAAACTTGTTGTCCTGCCTGCTTAGATCAACAGGTTCAGCTAAGTTTAACTCCTGTTTTAAAATGGGCATCAAAGTCGATTGCTCCTGTTTCAGCCACCAGAATACTAGAGCACAATACTGGGAAAGGGTGCATGGTTTTATAACCCCTTTGTCAGACACTGCTGCAATTTGTAGCTTAAAAGACCAGTTTCCCTTTTACAAGAAATTCATGATATTTTACTGTTTTATCTCTTCTCACAACTCTTATCCAACATCCTAAAATAGGAATGTGCTAATCACTTTGTTCTAGTGTCAGTTTTCCTGTATTTGAAGGGATTTGTCAGTTGTCTGTAACTGCTTCTTTATTGTAATTAGTTGGAGCAGTAAGGTCATGAATTTGAACTACCCTTTCACTCCCAGGGACAAAAAACTGCAAGAGGAAGTATTTTTCCTGTGTTACAAAAAGTCATTTTAGATTGGTAGTGCTTACTCTGTTTGATGGTACATTGCAGCATTTTAAGGGTTTGGTGTAGAGTAGGATTTTTAAAATCTGGGCTTTTGGAGGTAATTATTTTCTGTGCATCGCAAGCCAAGCTTGTTAGTAGTTTAGATTGATGTTTTATCTTCAGAAGTGGTCATTTTGGGTAAGAGTAAAGGCCCCCCTTGGTGAGACAGTATGGGGAACTTTGCATTGCCTCTGCTGTGCACCTCCTCGGTAGGGCTTCGGTAAACCAGGCATAATAAGCACTTACATTGATTCATAAAATATACATAATATATATATGCATATATGTGTTCATATATATGTGTAATTCTATTTTCCATATAAAGATTAATTTTTTTAGCTGAGGATGAGATGAAGCTACTTTTTTTACAGATTAACAAATACTTTGTAGAAATCAAATTTAAAGTGTTTATATACTTGTATGTCTTTTACTAGAAAAATCATATTGCTGACTGATTTAAACAGCAGTTACTGTGCAGTAAATCTGTTTTATGTCTTGGTTAGAAACAATTGAATAAATACTTTGGTAATAAGTACTAACAGATAAATGCCATCAAAATAAATGTGCCTAGATCTAGTTTTTAATATTTTTTTCATGTTTTCTTTTAACATGGATAGCATATTTACTGTAAGGAGTTAGTAATTTAACATGCTTTGTGTCCTTGAAGCTTAGTAAGGCTCTGTTTTAGATGGTCTGTATCCCCTTTATACCTCTGTGCCTCTTCTTCCCTATGGGCTAGCCACAGGGATTTAGGTTCAATTAAATTGTAAAACAACTTAATATTATTCATTGCATTGTTTTACAAGATCAGAAGTGATAGCTAAGTGATTAGCTGAAGAATGAACTGCATGCTTTATTCCTCAATGGTTTGTAATTGTGTGGTTGTAGTGATTCCTGATAAGTCTTTTAAAATTTCAGTGTTTACAGAAATGCTTAGATGCTTTATTCAGTAGCGTATGTTCCCCAAATAATTTATAAGACCTAGTCTGTTAGCTTTCTAGTTTGGAATTGGAATCTGCAAAACGAGTATCCTGAGTTCTTGAAGAGCACAGGGATGCAGTAGGGCTAACTAGGAGAATTTGCGTAACTAAAATTCAGATTTCAGTTTTCCATTTCTAAGCAGTTCACACTCCTTAATGTCCACACTAATGCTTTGGTGATTTTGGACTGAGAAAGTAATGAGTACAATATTTAAGGAAATAGGCCATTGTAACAAGAGTATATCTGCATATAATAAGTACCTATGACAATATGCTTTCACTTGGTTATTTTTTACTGGTTTTCAAATCTGCAAAGTTGCCACTGAGCTATAACACTGCTGCTGTGTAATAGAAGGTTATATGAGAAGAAAAGCTAATTGCCTGTTAAATTACTGTTTTTATAATAGTGTCCAGGGTTTTACAAGGGTAAGCTTTCTGTGTGCTTTTGAAGTACAACAGGTTCTTCTAGGCACTATGGATATGTTTTTCAGCCTTCCTGTATTATGATCCTGCTTAACATGATTGTCTTAAGTAGTTTCACAGGCTAGACAGGAGTCTCCCAGTTGCAGCATAGTTGTTTTACAACTCTTAAAAAAGGGATGGTTCCCAAATTAAACTGAAGAAAGACTTGATAATCCTGAGTGTGAAATGTATACGTGCAGTTGTACTGCACACATATAGCATATTTGTTAAAAGCTACCATTCTTAATTTCTATTTTAATTGCGGATAACTTGTCATGTTAAATTTCTACTTAGATGAAGGCTCGGATTAAAAAAAAACAAACCCAAAACTGAAACAATTCCTCAGTCACATGTGTAATTCCGTGGCTCTGTATGCTAATTAGAGCCATGCAGTTTGTGAGCATATAATCAAAACTACCTTATTAGTTTCTAGCACAGAATTGAGCGTGTGATCAGTGGAGCAATAGAGATGCTCCAATAGGAAAGTAGCCTATAAGACTTCATTTTAAACGGGCTTTGTTGCCCTCTCGTGGCATTAAATAGTGTTACTACACAGCATTTACAGGGAAGCTAGGATTTCATTCATATGTTTAAATAATCTAGATGAGAAATACCATGATTTCAGGTGCATAACTTTTTGTTCTTTAGAAGGCAGTTCCTAGAAGAGAGATGACTGTAGAGCATTACTCTGCACACTGCTTCACTTGCAGAATGTAGGGTTTCTTTTTTTCTTTTTGTCTATTAGTATCATGTCACTGTCGGCTCTTTGCTGGAAATGGTGATTGTCAATGGAAACTAAAAATGATAGTTAAAAAAACCTTGATTTTTCTGACTGTAAAGAATTAAGAGGCTTTAATTTAAAAGAAAACCTAGTGGTTTTTAAAAGGTATTGTGGGGCATAAAGTATTTACTGATGCTTACAATTGAATTTTGAAAACTAATTGTAAAACATACTAATTATTTCTATTTTAGGGCATAATCCTATACAGTGCAATAAATGTGATGCTTGATATGTCTTTCAGAGCACTAACATCTCAGATTCTGGTATTGCAATTTGACCTTTTTCAAAAGATAATTTACTGTTAATACCAGCCCACTGTAACACTGTTGTTGCCTGGCCTTATAAATATTTGGAACCAAAAAGCAGCTTGGCTGGGGCACTGTCAGCTGATTTCTTTTTTTTTTTTTTTTTAATTAATTTTGTAATAGAGCACCATTCAAACAGCACATACTGCAATTTAAAATAAATTCAAATGTAAATATTTCTTCTGTTGACTTTGAAAGGGCTTTCAGTTAATATGTCGCTTTCGGTAATTTGTATGGAAACTGAAAATACCTTCATTTTCCAAGTCATAGTCGATAATTTTAGGTTGGTGGTTTTGGTGAGGTTTTTTTAGTAGCATTGAGGTTTCTAGGTGGGAATTGTCTTTGAATATTTCTGCTTGTAGTATAGTAGCAGTATTCCTTTTAAAATCATACTGTAGTTGGGAGGGATGCTTTGTTTGCATGCTTATTATGATAATTGCAGCCTGTTGTGGAGGGGAGAGAGGCCTACTGGAGGAGTTCAGAGTGACATAAACTGATTAAAGAGTAATATATGCGTGAGGAGAAATTCACAGGACTGTGAGATGATGATAGCTGTAGGTGGAATCACTGGCAAAAGGAGCAGGACTTAAACATAGGAAGGCAATTCAGTTCTTAGAAGGTAAGGAAAGATGAAGTGTAGTGAGTGATGAATGTTTTTGCAGCAAGGAAAGGACTTAATGTTTCTAAAAGAAACTTCGGTTTGATATCTCTTTAGTGGTTTTAGAATTAAGTACAGCATTCTTAGTTACCTGGTTTGAAATTTGACCTATTTAGTGCTTACAAGAGGTACCAGATTGAAAGCCTGGGATGCTGAAGTCATCAAATATCCTACAGAACAGGTACAGCATGACAAGAGTCATGCCTCCCCAAAAATGCCCTTTTACACTCTAAGTTGGAAAGGTACCTCAGTAGGGACTGAAGGGTAGTTCAGATTTCATGGTCTATTTTGAAACAATTGGCTAACTTCGAGACTACTAACAAGGATGTAAGTCAGTATTACTTGTGAAGTGGAAATCTGTCCACTCAGCTAAGGCCCACCCAATTCTAAAGTTTCTGTAAGTCTGAGTGGGTGCTCACTTTACCTGCTTCATTATATTCTTCTAATGACATTTCTTTTCCTGGTGCCCTTCACATAAAATAAAAACGAGGAGGAGAATGATTTTATTTGTTGGAAGATAAAGCTATCTAACTTTTCCAACCATAATGAGGTAAATATAAATAAAAAGCCAATGCTGTTGGTTTCTTTGGCTCCAGGGTGTATCTGTAGTTTTAGTAGACTTACTGTTTTGCTATTGCTTATTTTTCCTCGTGGCTTTTACTGACAGAACTGCTTCCTTGTAGGAGGACTGACAAATGGTAGTGGTCGCTATATTTCTGCAGCACCTGGAGCCGAAGCAAAGTATCGCAGTGCAGCAAGTACCTCCAGTCTTTTTAGCTCCACCAGTCAGCTCTTCCCTCCTTCACGCCTTCGTTACAGTAGGTCTGATATTATGCCTTCTGGACGTAGTCGATTGCTGGAAGATTTCAGAAACAATCGTTTCCCTAATCTTCAACTAAGAGACCTTGTTGGACATATTGTTGAATTTTCCCAAGATCAGCATGGTTCTAGGTAATTATTATAGTAAAGCTAATAATAATATTTTACTGCTTTGATATTGTTATATTAATATCAAACATTTGAATAAGCTGCTAGTCATTTGAATACAAACCATGCCATTAATTGGAGCACATGCTCTTACACTGACCTTTTTCTTCTCTAGGAAATTTCATTATAAAAGTAGTATAAATGTAGATGCTCGTAGAAGTTCTCAGTGTAGAAATAGCTTCATAACTAGACTTGTAAACTCTAGTATTTAGGTATCAAAAAGATGTTGATTAAAAAAACAAAATATGTGGCATCTGGAATGTAAAACCATTTTTCAGCAATACATCATCAGGTACTTAGTTATTGTTACTCTTTTCATCTTTAATCCTTTTCAAATGAAAGTTTTTAAGTATAATTTTACTAAAATGTATCCCTTTATATGCAAAGGCGCTACTTTCATTTCATTAAGTTCTATAAAAATGTTGAATACTTTAGAATTTCGAGGTGTCTCATTGAAACAGTATTTGCGAGGTTTTCTGTTGTTTGTGTAAAGCATAACGTACCTTTTTTTGCACTTAGATTTATACAGCAAAAGCTGGAGCGAGCTACTCCAGCTGAGCGCCAGATGGTATTTAACGAGATCCTGCAAGCAGCATATCAATTGATGACTGATGTGTTTGGAAACTATGTTATACAGAAGTTCTTTGAGGTAAGCATAACACAAAGTGTATGAACAGAAATGTGAATGAAATGCTGTAAAATCTGATTAAATTTAACTGGTTTTATTTTTTTCTTAACATCATAGCAGAACTCTACTGGACTTACCACAGAACCCAAGTATATAACACTGCACATGTGTTTTCTGTTCTGTATCCCCTGGGTTTTTTTTTCCTAACAGTCACAGTTTCTCTTTACACTGGTGGTACATATGTTGGTGAACATCGGTGAATGTACAGTCTGCATGCTCAGGCTTTGCAGGCCTTTTAGCGTAATTTACAGAGGCTTTCAGCAGATGATGGGGAACATAGAGATCTGAAAGATACAGTAACCAACAAAAAGTATCTTGGTAAAGAGTGGATCTGGAAACTGCTCTTGCACCCAAATAAATAGCTGTGTGAACTTCATCTGGTGCTGTGTATGAAGAATCTCACATAAAATGTATTGAGGATCAAAGAATTACAAGATTTGACTTACTGTGTCTTGGAAAAGGTTATATGTAGGAAAGGTATCTAGCTTAGTGTGCTTTAAATTGAGGACCATATCAAAGTATCTGGGTGGGTAGAAGGTGAAATTGCTGTTTTTTCCATAATGTTAGTTTGGATGGATCCATAGATAATCATTATCAATTGGGTGTTTTCATCTTAATTCTGCAGAAGAGCTCTCAAGAAAAAAGTGCACTAGGCCTTAGGTGTAGTAAGGGACTTCGCCTTGCTACTTAAATATTGAACTAAGTTGTTTGAGCTTTCTTCAGAGTCCTGGGTGACTACAGGTGTGGGGTTTAAGTTCCCAGCAGTGCTGTGCGAATGTTGCTGGTGCCACCCAGCTGATTGTCTAGATCACTTCTGTGTGGTCTCCTATACCGTGCTGACTCAGGAGCTGGTGTGGGCATCTAGGAACAGGGTTATGTGTATTGTTACGAAGCTTGACTGGCTTCTGCTCTGCTCAACATGGAGCAGCACAGAAGGTTGTGGTAGCACTGTGGAGGGAATAATATGGGCAGGAATTAGCTACTGCTGAAAGTTGCTAGCTGAATTTGTACACAGTGTGCAAAACCATTTTGATGTTGCTCTGCAAAGCCCAAGTATTTCTAGATTTCCAAAAGCACCTGCAGTAAGAATGATCCTTCAAGCCATGTGAAATTACCAAGAAGGGGTAATTACTTCAGGGGTTGAAATCTCCCCACACACCTGTTCCCTCCTGTTACAGCTTGCTTACTTTATGCAAGATGTAAGATATGCTGACCAGTACGGATTTGAGATATCAGAGAAAATCTGATTTGAATTAATACATTATAGTAATCTGTAATTAATTTGCCTGGTATAATTTGTCTAAGGTTATTGCACTTAAATATTCCTTCAGACAGACAAGTATAAACTACTTCGATTTCTTCTGTCTTTCAAGGTCATGCATTTGATAACAGGTATGTGACTGGAATGCGGAGTATTACAAAATGTTGCATTTAGAAAACAAAAACTTCTGGTAAATATACCCACTAAAAATACACAGGGGAAAATCAACACAGTAAAGTTGTAATACATCTTGAAAGTACTTACTCTGACGTGTAAATTCCAGCATGCTGCAATATGTCTTTATTTGGTAACAGCGTATTTATTTTCTTTTAGTTTGGAAGCCTGGATCAAAAGTTAGCCCTAGCAACACGCATACGTGGCCATGTTCTGCCATTAGCCCTACAGATGTATGGTTGTCGTGTTATTCAGAAAGCACTTGAGTCAATCTCACCTGACCAGCAGGTAATTGTAAGTTAGAGCAATACTTTTTTTTTAAATTTTATTTCTTTTTATTGCATCCATCTTTTTACTTGATTAAATTGTTGATCATTCCCTTCATAATGAAATACCCTAGGGACTAAAATAGTTATTTAAATTAAAATGCTGTGGTACACAAGTAAGCTACTACTGAATATGAAGATTGGACAGTTAGGATGAAATGGAATATTCCTTTGAGGGGGAAAAATAAATAAATAAAAAAATCATTGTAAAGACAAGGATAATCTTTTTTTTTCCCCAGAATGAAATGGTGAAAGAGTTGGATGGTCACGTTCTGAAATGTGTGAAAGATCAAAATGGAAACCATGTTGTACAAAAATGTATTGAGTGTGTTCAACCTCAGTCACTTCAGTTCATCATTGATGCATTCAAAGGACAGGTAGTGTCAACAGTTCATTTCCTCTTCTGAAGGGTTGCTTTGATTTGCAGATAGTTTTCCATCATTTTCATATACAAGATAGTGTCTGACACTTTGCAGTCAGCTTGTTTTTGTCATCCCTTTTTTATCCTACTTAAATGGAAGAGCTGTTGAAAAGACAGTTAACATGCTGTAAAAGATCAATCTATTGGAAATGAGGCTCTAAAAAGACCTTGTTGGGTATATTAGAAATACTAACAGAGGTATTTGCTTAAGGCCAGGCTTTCTGTTTAAGTTTTATGATATGCCATTTCAAATTTCCTTTATAACTTTTAACGTTGCCATTTTTTGATGTAATAAAGTCTCTGCTCTCTAGCATATATTTTTCATTAAAATTTCTGTTTTCTTCTTCTGTTGCTAATGTTGCAAGTCTGTCTTTCAGTGTTTCCCAATTAATGTCTATCATTAAGGAAATACTTTGAAGAACTACACTACTCTGTTCCCTACATATGCGCTAGTGTTAAGTGAAGAGGGCTGATATTTGTTTATTTAAGGTTGGGGTTTTTGTTTTGTTTCCCAAGAAAGTTATTAATATAAGATTGATACTGTGCTGCAGGCTAGAGAATATGCTGCAGCTAAATAAGATTTTAATACTCTGAGACAAACGTGTACTTTTATAGTCTCAAGAAGAATTGTAAAAATCTTACTAACTTGGCTGTGTTACTAAATTTTACTTTAATGGACGGCCAAATGTATTTATTAACAAAATCTACAATATACTTCTCTCACATTTTACATGACAGCAATACCGGAATTATTGTTATACATAGTAGTAAATAGCAAACCAAGGTTTCTAGGGTTGGGTCTTTATACATCGAAAAGCATGTATGCGGTAGATAAGATGCAGTTTCTAAGCTGTGAATAGAGCCCCTTGACTAAAATATGACTCAGTTTATTTACTGGACATCCATCCTCAGCTCCAAGTAATTCTATATAAAAAAATATTAGCTAATCTGAAATGGTAAATGAAAAATACCACACTTTAGTTATGTTATGTAACAATATGTATCTTTTTCACCTGCCTGCACTATTTGGATCTATGTCTAATCAGACAAGATTCTGTGTTCAGATCTGACCAACACTGACTCTTAAATCTTCTGAATTAATCCCCGAAACACAAACTTGGTTCCTGGAGAAGTAAGCAAAAGGAATAAGCAAGGTTTTGACTGTATGTTTTGAATACTTATTTACAAACTTTGTAACAAGGAGCCTGTTGTATATGCTGGCATGTGAAATTAGTGAAAATCAGCCTCAATAATCGAACTCCTTTTTATAAATGTCAAAATCTTAACTTTGTACTTAATTTTCAGATTTTAAAAGGAAGGCTTGAAAGGTGAACAGTGCTTAACTAAGGGTCATACTTCCAGGCTTTTCTTGGCAGCTAAGTAGGCTAGAAACATCATAATGAAAACTTGGGTTCTTAGTTGTAGAATTACTGGAGTGCTTGACACACAAAAACCTACATTTTCATCTTTTCCTGACTTCTACTGGAGATGGAATTCTGACATTGGCAGGCAAAACTTTTTTTTTAATAGAAGTAGTTGGCATACTCAGTTTCACTTCGAGCACAGTAATGTTACTATATCTGTAAACTTCGGTTGGTTTAACTTCAGTTTGCAATCCTGTTTTAAGGTATTTGTACTTTCAACTCATCCATATGGTTGTAGAGTAATTCAGCGTATTCTGGAACACTGTACTGCTGAGCAGACTTTGCCAATCTTAGAAGAACTGCATCAACACACAGAACAGCTAGTGCAGGTTAGTGCGCATATTCATTTTTAAATGAGTTTTAGAGCTTTTTTGTTGTCATAATTTATTCCTATTTCTTAGTTTAATAAATAGTTTAAATGCATTTGCCTCTTCTTAGTTTTGTAGACATTGATTTTTTGTTTTTCTTTCCTTCCATAGTTTTAATGAAAATGAATTTGGAAGTTGGGAGGCAAAGAAGATATAAAAGTCTTTCTTACACTTTTGACTGTAGCTTCGAATATACATTGTAAATGCCCAGAATTAGTATACTTTTTTAATTGCAAAGATTGCCCTTTTGTAGTTTATCTTGATTCATTCAGGTGTCCTTTAGATAACTTGTAATAATCTCTAAACACAAATACATTGTCAAAAATATACGTGTTACATATACTTACACGAAAAGGGCATCTTTTCTAAAAGGCGGCAAAAGACCTTATACAATGTGATTTCCTCTTTTGGTCTCAGTCAAGCAAAATGAGTGCTACAAATGACTTTGAAATGGAATCAGTTTAAAATAAAGGAAAGAACTCAGTGCTCAGTAGGAATTTCCACACATAAAAAGGAAAGAATTGCCTTTTGCTACATATTCACAGTCTAGTTTCTCAGCGGTTTCTTGTATAGACAAGTCTGTAGTTAAAACATAACTGTCTTGGGAAACCAAAGTTCAGGGAGATAGTACGGCTGTTAAAGAATGATGATCTTAATTTTGAGGACTTCTTTCTTTGAGAGGATAAAAGGTACTCTAGCAAAATGCTGTTTTTACAGATTATTTACATTTTTCATGTAAATTTTGTGGACCATTCAGTAATTCTTGATGCAATATTTCTTGCATCACTTTACTACTATAATGTTGACATTATTGTATTTTTCCTTATATCTATGCAAGTAATAATTTGAAAGTTTATAAAAATACATAAAAGCTGTATAGATTACTTGATATGAACACAAAAGAAAATTGAAGTCATCTTATTTTCAGGATCAATACGGAAATTACGTTATTCAACATGTACTGGAGCACGGTCGTCCTGAAGACAAGAGTAAAATAGTTTCAGAAATAAGAGGAAAAGTTCTAGCTCTGAGTCAGCACAAATTTGCCAGGTATGGCATAGCCTTCTGAAGGTTCACTGACCTTTTAAAGTTGTGGTATTGGATTTATTTATTGCGTTACAAAAAGGATATGATAGGGTTTTTCTGTTGTGTAACTTGCTTCCTGAAATTTTATATTTCTGTATGAATGGTAGTGGTGTTTTATACTAGATTTGGGAAAGGGAAAATGCTGTTATGTCGCAAAGCAAAGAAGATTCCATGGGTTTATGAGATGGTTTTTGTTCACCTTGTACAAGTGCAGGGAATGGGTTCCAAGCCTCCATGTGAGGATCCCCAGGGCCAGGTGAAAAGCTCTCCTAGAACTTCCCTGACGCACTGATGATGATGAGCTGGGACTTCCTGACTGTCTGTCTGTCCAGCCAAGCAATTTACAAGTATAAAAAGGCTAGCCTTTAAAAAGTGGTGGTTCAGCCCAATAAGGATTTTATGCATTAGGAAGTCTCCAAGACTATTGCAGGAGTCCTGAACTGTTCTAAACTTGGAACCTAAAACTCATCCTTCTGTGCTGTTTGCTGAAATACAGATTATGTGCCTTTTGCTAAGGAAACACGCCTCAGAATTCGTCCTGGACAATTTAGTGTGACTGACCTTGTCTTCAACATCAAGTAGAAATGCACTGTGACATTATGGGGGCATTTGTTTTAAAAACTGATTGTATGCAAACTAGCACGTTTATCTGGATTTTATTTCTCTTTGCCTAAATAAAACAGTTCATAATCTTCTCCTTGGAACTTGCTTAATTTCTAAAGTACAAACTTAGGACCAGAATTTCTGTCTTATAAGCATTGATGGGCCTTTCCAGCTTCTGAGATACCTGGAAAGTCAGAGACTTCCTCTACAAAATTTGACAGTTTCTGTGATCTAGGCATGCTTCTGAAAAGCACCTTTATTCAAAAACAGGGAGCCTCATACTTGGCTTTCTCTGTTGTGTCTTAAAAGGGCCCACAACCAAAATAGATGTACCAGAATACATCTGCAACATGAGGCCCAGTATATCTGTAGGTGCAGTGGAAAGTCTCTCCTACAAGATAATAAATATCAGAAATTACTTTTTTTTACATGAGTAGGAATGTATAATCCTGTAACTTTCTCAGTCATTACAGACTAAAGATTTGGAAATCAGGACTTGACGTGTTTACAGTGCACTCTTTAATGGTGTTAAGACACTTGAACTGTTCAGCTAAATTTGAAATTGTTACTTAATGTTACATCCTACGTCACAGAATGCATTTGTCTTATTTTTCAGCAATGTGGTAGAAAAATGTGTAACTCATGCTTCTCGTGCTGAAAGAGCTTTACTGATTGATGAGGTCTGTTGCCAGAATGATGGTCCTCACAGTGCCTTATACACCATGATGAAGGACCAGTATGCCAACTATGTTGTTCAGAAGATGATTGATATGGCTGAACCTGCTCAGCGGAAGATAATAATGCACAAGGTATATTTGTATATAGTTTTATTGGTTCAGAAAATATTATCTATACTAATTTTTCTGCTAGAATAACTTTCCCTCTAGATGTGAAACTCACTAGTTCTGTAATCTAGAATTTAAGGTATAAACATTAAATTCATAAATTCAGTGGAGTTTGATAAAGCAGAATATGTTCAGGTCTCTGAGCACTGATCTAAAAATGTAAATCCACAGAAAAGTTTCAGAAGTTGGATTTCATATCCTCTCTTTGTGCTAGCTTTTCTGTGAAAATACTTTTAATATAAAAATGTAGTATCTGTCATCTTAGTTAATATAACGGAAGAAATACAGGTTTTTCTTTTTATTTGCTGGTTGCTGGTATAAATCCATTCTGCAGTTCCCCCAAAAGAGATTCCCACACTTCCTAACATACGGGCACATTTTCTACTGAAGAATATCCAGATGTGGACAAAAGTGCTATTCCCATAACTGCTTAGGCTATTTAATGCAGGGCCTGATATATTCCTGCAGGAGCTCTGGGGCACTCCCACAAAGGGCTGCCTCCCTTTTCCTGTAACAGGTACATCAGTTGTTGGCGAGTCAAAAATCACCAATTTTGTGTCTTTCCACAAACTGCCAAAATTTTGAAATACGGGCTTTTGACACTTTTAAGTGTAGTAACCTCTACTTAGAATTTTTGAGGGGGGAAACCAAAAATAATGGGTTTCTTCTTACAGATTCGACCCCACATCACAACTCTGCGTAAATATACCTATGGCAAGCACATTCTGGCCAAGTTGGAAAAGTATTACCTGAAGAACAGTGCTGATCTGGGGCCAATTGGTGGACCACCAAATGGGATGCTGTAAAAGATAAAAAGAAATGGAAGAAAGAAATTGAATTGTGAATGATCAAAACATACAACTTAACTATAAATGTTCTGATTTTTTTAAATCTATTTATTGACTTTGTTCATCCATTTGTAAAATTTTTATTCTTGTGTATATTTTTGGGGAGTGAATTATTAAAAAAAAAAAAAGAAAAAATATCTCCAGCCCTGATCCGGAGACCTATCAGATTGGATGGCTGGCAAAGCACAGAATGCCTGTATATGATGTAATTGTATCAAAATAGCTGTCACATATTTTGTAAATTTTTACCTTGTAAAGTCACTGAAATAGTTTTTAAAGGGAAAAAGTACAGTATTCTTTTAATACACTGGCTTGCAATCTGGTAGGTCTACCCAGCATCATAGCACAACAGGTTTATAGAGTTGTATATAGAATTAATCCTTATTTTTCCCTTTTGTGTGAAGTCTTTTATACCAGATTAAAATTGATCAGCTGCATAAACATTATTTAACATGTTGAAAAGTTAAGTTGTATTTTGGTGGTTCACAACATACTCTCCAAATAATAAACAGGGCACACCAAATTAAAGTAGGGAATAACAAAACAATGGAAACTTTAAAAGACTCACTTTCATCACTTGCTGTGGATACAGGCTTTTTTTTTAAAATGGTGCCCTAAGGTTTTTCTCTAGCAATGTATTAAAAATAAAAGTGCTGTATATACTTATATATTTAATTGTTGTACAAGGTAGAGGGATTCAAATGATGGTGGTGCTTCCACTTGGTAAAGTACGCTGTTGGAAGAGGAGCGAACCCTGTATTAACTTTACAGTCAGTTTTACAATGCAGGAAGAGTAGAGATTTGTATTTTTTTATTTTGCATATAGACTTGTAAGGATTTGAAAGTGTTGAGCATTTATTTTGCTTTCTCATTGTAGATGCAAAAAATAGGTATTGATGAAGAGAAAAGGGGCCACTGAAAAGTAAACTTGATAGCTCAACATTTAAGCATGGTTGATTAAATATTCAGATAGCTTTTTTGCTTCCTATAAATATATGCATTGTATACGTGTAGTTAATAGGTGTAAGTTTACAGTTTGAAAACAAATCTCTCGTTTCGATGTTTATTACAAGCCTTGCTAATTTAGTAGTGATGCTTACCTTGGTTGTACAGATGTACATTTGTAAACCTTCATGCTGTAAATGTAATTTGTTTTACCCCTTTTTGGGACAAAAATTTGCATTTTAGTGTATATTCATATCCCCATTCCCTTTTCTCCCCCTGGCATATAGTGTTGTATAATGTAAATTTATTTCAGCAAATCAAGAGTGATTTTTTTAAATTCTATCTTTATATGGTTTCAGAAATATGAACCGGCTTTCTTTTTATCTATTGTGAGAAACATTATGTTTTGTTTATAACATAGCTGTCGATTCTGTTAATATGGACACTTTGGAAAATCAATCTGTTCAAATTTTAAGTCGGGATAATAAGCATAGTAAGAAATGGACTGAAATATTTGGTTATCACAGAAACCAATGCTTCTTCCATCTTAATAAATGTGGCATGTTTTTTTTGTACAGAAGAGTACTGTATTTTTGAATAGCCTTCTCCCAGCGTAAAGCAAATATGTATGATACTGTCAATTTTTTTCTCTGGACATATGACATTGTAACAGTAACATAAAGATGATGTACATTTACAAGCGGCCTTATGTACATTTCCCAATGATCTTTTTAAGGCAGAATTGTGACCATATGTGTATAATTAAAATCCTTTTTAATCCTTTGCCTATGGAAGTATTTTGGAAAAAGCTTACTTTGTATATTCAGTTTCTGAAAGATAAAGAAAGTGCTTTGTATGTTGTTGAAGTAAGTATTTTGTGTAAAACATTCATTTGGATGGCTTAACCTAAAGTTTTGATCAACAAGATAGTTTGAAAGCGATGTCTTGAGCATTGATCAAACAAAAGGCTGTTACGGTAGGGGTCCAACCATGAGGAAGGAAAATAGTGGTGGTATAAACTTGTGTAAGGAATTCTCTCGTATTACTGTTTATGTCAAGTTTACATAAGTCTTATTAAAGCGTACTTCTGAGGCGTTACTTTTTTTTAATGGTAGCATTAACTCCTTAATAGGCAAATGGGAAAGTTTGTTCTGGCCTGCTTCCAGATTCTGGATTTGTCATTTAGTGCCTGCATTAAGTGATGTAGTAGGCCTAATTATTTTCAGTAAGCACAGTTCTAATTGCCAAGTAGTTTTTTGCATGGCAGAGGGCAAGCCCTGTCATTGGAGCCAGAGCTTTCCCATCATCACACAAAGGATGACTTTTGAGCCACTTCCTTGGACACATGAGTTCTCCTCAGTGACTATTTCTACTCTGTGTACAAATGCCGTGTGTTATTGCGCACTGCTGAGGTTCTCTTCAGCACATGAGACAGTAAGTTAGGCTTTTGGGGATGTCCAGGCAGAAATTGATAATGTCCCAGTACTTTGTCCCTGTAGCACTCATGCCATGGTTGAATTTAAACAGTCCTATAACTGTCATCCCCAGATCTTTCAGTATCTGGAACATAATCTTCCACTTGCTCTCCTAAAGTCGTTTTGCACAAATTCTATCCAGGAACATGAAAATCACTGGTTTTCCTTTCAACTATTTTAGGCTTTGGGCAGAACCACTAGACTTTTTTGCTCAAGTATTGCTTTTTGATATAGAATGTTTATGGACCAGTTTGATTAGGTTTGACTCCAGGTGGCTTATATTGAATAATGTAATGTTCACATGTATATACTGTAAAAATCAAAATGAAAATGTGTGAATAACATTGTGTGAAATACATCTGGTCTTGTGTTTTTCCTGTAGGAAATCAGCCATTCTTCATATTCTCAGTTATGTGACTTGTCTACTATCTGTGGAGCTCGGCTTTGAAAAGATGCTCATTTCTCGTGATCCAATGGGAATCAGTCAGTTATTGAAGAACCCTGTATTAGATCATTAAGTTTCCAGAGGCCAGCTCTGAGCAGTTAAACCTTCGTATCGTCTTCCAAAAAATCTTTACTGATGTATAGTTAACTGCCTGATGACAGTTTCTTTGTACACCACTGAATCTGGGGTGAGTTCTTGAGCGTATGAGAGGGCTGGGATTGTTAGCTGCCTGTGGCATCACTGGATCCAAGCTCGTTCCTGTTACGGCCCAGGATTTATTTTTTTTCAAAGGACCATTTTTAGCTTAACGTGTGGAGCGAAGTGGCCTAACTGCAGGGGAGTGGGACTGCTTTTTGGTGTTAAAATAACTTGCCTAAGTGGCCCCTTACAGACAAAACAACCATAATGCTAATGCCTCCATCGGTGGCTTTTTTCACTCTTTCATCGGATTATGGGGAAGAGTGAGGTTTCTGGGGTCATAATGTCTAGGTGGTTTAGAATGCTGATGGAGATTCAGAAACCGATTTAGTCTGTCCTTCCCTCTGCTCTAAGGAAAAGGCATTTGAAGCCTTGTGACTCGCTGTGTAGTAGCATGGTAATTAGGCTGATCTGTCAATCAGTTTTGTTCTATGACAATGTTTGATGTTCAACATAGTAGTAACTAGGAAGATGGGTAAACAGTGAGGTAACAAGAACTCCCACCATGTCATTCAGGGAAGTAAAGCTGAGAGAACAATTGCAAAAGCATTTTGAGATCTAATGACTGGTCATTAAAATTGCAGATTGCATCCAGGTCATGTGCCTGGGGAGAAAACCCAGTGCTAACGACAGCGAGGGAACGTGCTGCTGAACGATTGCAGTTGGGTCAGCTGCAGTGCGCAAATGCTGGATTTTATACAGGGAGCAGTGGCTGGTCATCGTGTATCCTGAGCATGGCAGATTTTTGTGTAGCTTTGTTCAGTAGTGACGTAGTTCTGTGTTGGTCCTTGAGGAAGGAAAGAGAAAAGCCATGTGCTGTGTCAGATCTTGGTTGTCCTGGCCCTGCTCCCCAGCCCACAGCAGAGTAGGAGTGTCTGTCAGTGTAACACCAAGGTTCACATCTTACCAAGCTCCTGGTAGTGCTTGAAGCCATCCCAAGGTCCCATTAGTTTATGGGCAACGCTGCTGTTTTGATGAGTGTGTGCTACAGGCAGTGCTTCACCCTGCCTGAAGAGTTTCAATTGGAAGTACTCCGTGCGATTGGAACCTGTCGGGAGGGCTCACAGGCACTATCTGTGCACAGACTGCTGATCCAGGCACCTCTTGGCTTGGTTCCTGTCAGGAACAGCATATCCCTCTTGGGGCCCTGCTTTGTTCCTCAAGGACTAGTGTGCAGGATGGGGCTGGAGAGGTTTGGGACAACTTGGCAAACGTTGTTCCTGCCATCCAGGAAGAGACAATTTGAGCTGCTGCAGAACGCACCTGGGGTGTCAGTGGTCTTGTGGGCCAGAGCAGCCCAGGCCTCCCCCACTCTATCATCAAAAGGGGTTAGAAACCAGCACCATTGTCATGGAAAGACCAGTCACAAGTCTTCCACCATGCGGAAGGGATGGATGTCCATCAGGCATTGATAGCACTCCGGAACTGCTTTATCCCAGAGTGAACAAAAACCCGATGTTCTGTACTAAGTTTCAGAACACAGAGGCTATCGGGAAGCTACCACCCTGCATCGGGGCAGGCAGCCAGTAAGGCAGACCAAGCTTAGGGGCTTAACTGAGCTGTTGGTGCTCCTCTGTAGGGTGATGCAGGAGTTTCCTCCATCAGCCCTTTGGATGGAGCCTGCTCCTTTTGCGTGCTAGCTCGCTGATTGGGAACCTGCCCAGCAAATGAAATGCTTGAATTAGTTTCCCTTATCAGCCTCAGGGTTTTAAACCCACCTCCCTCACTTCACAGGAGTATGTCCTAACCACAAGGAGCTGGGCGGGTTCGCTTTCTACTCCTGAATTTGGGCTGGGCTTTTCGCACAGCTTGAACCATCCGTTGCATCACAAACGGCACAAGATGGAGCATGACTCCTAAAGCACGTGGGTGGGGGCGGGTAGGTTCTGCTCTCCAGATCCTTGTCTCCACCTCGATTCTCCCAGACTCACTTAATGCAAAATATATCTTGGGAGCAGCATTCCGTCGTCATTAACAAATTGGGAATGCTCCAGAGGCTTTTTATATAGCAGCTGAAATGTAGGAAGACCTATTCTAAAGACCCTCTTCAT